TCTATGAACGTCTTTTTGAATTAGATGTGTTTCTTGTATACAGCATATTGTTGGATGTTGCTTCTTAATCAATTCTGCCAGTCTATTCCTTTTGATTGGTGAATTGAGGCCATTAACATTGATGGCTATAATTGATAAATATTGACTCATCCTTGTCATGATGTTTTACTGTTGTTGGCTCTTTCATTTTTTATTTTTTCCCTTTTCCTTTTAGTTTCTTGCCTTGCCTAGTGGCTTCACTCTGTTGGGCCTCATGAAGTTGTGACCTTCATTGTCTTTTTCTAGGATATTGTTTAGAATTGTTTGGAGTGCTGCTTTGGTGTTCATGAAATTTCTCGGGTATTTTTTGTTGTGGAAGTATCTAATTTCCTCCTTCAATTTTGAGAGATAATTTTGCAGGATACAACAGTCCAGGGTGGAAGTTATTTTCTTTTAGGGCTTGAAATACTTCACTCCAGGCTTTCCTTGAGGGCTTGTGTTGAGAATTCTGCTGTGATTCTGATGGGATTTCCTTTGTATGTGATTTGTTTCTTTTCTCTAACTGCTTGTAGGATTTTGTTCTTCTGTTGGGTTTCTGGGATCTTGACTATTATATGTCTAGGTGTAGATTTTTTTATCATGGCTAGTTGGAGTTCTATATGCCTCACTTATCTATATGTCCAATTCTCTACTTCTGTCTGGGAAGTTTTCTACTATTACTTCTGTGAACAGTTTTTTTATGTCAATTGTACTTTCTCCTGTTTTTTTGTGTTTTTTTGTGGACTCCTATCAGTCTTATGTTATTCTTCTTTGCATCATCTAGCAGCTGCTGGATTGATTTCTCATGGTCCCTTACTATTTTGAAGAAATCTCTGTTTTCATGGTACTATTGGCAATCCTGTCTTCTACATCTGATATTCTATCTTCACATTCCCTTAATCTGTTGTGAATACTTTCAGTGGAGTTTTTAATCTCCTGGATATCTGTTTGAATCTGTTTCATAGATTCTATTTCTTTTCTATGTTGGGTGATCATGTTTTCCATTTCTTTCTTATGCTCGGTATTTGTGGCTTCCTGCATGGTTCTGAGCTCATCTATTTTTTTCTGTTTCTGTTCTAGAGCCTCTAATCATGTCTTTCACTCTGCTCATCATCTCTGTAGTTATTTGGGAAACTAATAGTTTTGAATTTTTCTAGAGCCTCATTCATTTGTTTTGTTACTTCCTGTGCTATCAGTTCAGGGTGTCCAGGTGGCTGATTATCATATTTTTCCACCTTGTTTCCCCCAGAATTTTCCTTTGGTGAGCTAGAAGTCTGTGTTTGTGTCCTGCCAAGGTGTCTTCTCATTTTTAATTCTGTTGTTGGTGCTGTTTTTTGCTTTAATTCCTGGGCTGATACTCCAATATTTCTTATTTTGAGTATCCTTATTACTGGTGTTTTGAGCCCCTATGGAGTGATTGCTTCTCAGAGATATCTTCCAGGTATAGCTAGGCTTTTTAGGGTTTGAGTCTCTAATGACTCTTAGGCAATCTCGTTTTCAGTATACCAGGGAGGACAACTGATTAGATCAATCACATCACCTTAGCTCAGTTAACACAATCAGCATCAAATACAGCTTAGAAAATGACAATTTGTGGTAACAGTTAATCTGTCACCTTTAACCTCGTGAGCTAGATCAAAACCTAGGACCAGCCCAAAATATGTTTGTAGTGAGTAAACCCTTCAATATGTCAAATTTACCCTTTGGGATAAGGATTTAGCAGGGGTTGGGGAGGGAGGGGTAGAGAGATAGAGGGAGAGGGAAAGGTTAGAGGTGAGGCTAGAGGACATGGGAAGGTCATGCAAATTGTGGGGATCTGTTGAAGACAGGAGGAGAAGACAGAATGAAAGAACAGAGACAAGCATAGAACAGACAACAATAAGGTAGCTAGAAATTGTATTCACCTTCCTATAAAAGTGACAGTCAAGAGGACAGAGAGAAAAAAATTCAGAATGGGACAGGAACAGGAACAAAGAAGGAGAGAAATATAGAAACAGTAGGGATAGAGAGAGAGGAAAAGAAATATATATATAACAAAACAAACAAAAAGAGGTCTCCCTCTCAGGATATGTCTCTGCTGTCCTGGTAGGCAATGTGGGCAGCCATGTGTGGGTCTAAGTCAAGTAGTCTAAGCAAGCCAGCTGTAGTCTACTGAGATTCAGGCTGAGTTCTGGCTGTGAGGTCCAAGTTGAGGTCCCTGACCTTCGGCAGGGTTGAACTCTGCAAGGTTCTACTGCAGGTTCCAGCTGTCCTCCCCACTATGTGAGTGCAGGTTTCTATGGGAGGTGCTGATCCCACCAACTTACCAACCACAATGGTCCACTGTGCTTTTATTGAAGAGTTTTTCTTCACTTTCCCAGTGGGCTTCAATTTTCAATGAGGAGCCTCAGAAAGGCCTTCTCTGTTGTTCACTTCTGCTCTATCTTCTGGGGCTCATAACCATGGCCTTATGTTCCCTCTGGCACCTCCACTGTGCAGATTCAGATGCCTTGAGGCATCCATGCCACACAGTCCAGCAGGGCTCTGGCTGCTGGTGTCCCCATGACCAGGGTCTCCAGAGGGGTGGGCACGTTCATTCTTCTTTATGGCAGTGAAGTACTCCATTGTGCATAAATACCACATTTTCTTTATCCATTCATCTGTTGGTGGACATACAGGCTGTGTCCAAGATTTAGTTATTATGAATTGTGCTGCTACAAACATGGGTGTGCATCTATCACAACACCATAGGAAGATACCTAGAAAGGGAATGGCTTTTTTGAGAAGATACCTGAAACTCTTTGGGGAAGATACTTGCAAGGGGGATAGCTGGGCCAAATGGAATTTCTATTTTTAGTTTTTTGAGGACTCTCCATACTGATTTCCAGAATGGTTGTATCAGTTTACAATTCCACCAACAATGTAAAAGGGTTCCTTTCTCCCTACAGCCTCAGGAAAATTTGTTACTGGTTGATTTCTTGGTGGTAGCCACTCTTTCTGGAGTGAAATGGAATCTCAATGCTGTTTTAATTTGTGTTTCTCCAGTGACCAGCAGTCTTGAGCATATTTCATGTATTTATTGGCTAACTATTTCTTCATCTGACAAGTGTCTATTCATTTCAGATGCCCAATTTTTAAGTCTGTAACTTTGGGAGATCTAATGTTTTGACTTCTTTATATATGCTAGATATTAGTCCTTTGTCTGAGTAGCTAGCAAAATTTTTCCCATTCTGTAGGTTGTCTGTTGGTGGTTTTCTTTGCTGTGCAGAAACTTTTATTTTGATGTGATCCTATCTGTTGATTCTTGATATTATTTCTTGTGTATTTGGGGTTTTGCTCAGTGTTTTTGCCTAAACCTATGTCTTCAAGAGTTTTACCTATTTTATCTTCCAGTAGAATTGTGTTTCTCTTCTAACTTTAGATCTTTGGTTCTTTTCAATTTTATTTTTCTGCATGGTGACAGAGGTTCAACCTCTACCATGTGGACAGCTAGTTTTTCCAGCATCATTTGTTAAAGAGTCTATCTTTTCTCCAGAAAAGAGATTTGTCCCTTTGTCACAGGTAACATAGCTGAGTTTGCCAAGAGTTGTTTATGTATCTTCTATTCTGTTCTATCAGTCCATGAGTTTGTTTTTTGGCAATACCATGTGGTTTTTACCACTGTAGCTTTGCAATATAACTTGAACTTCAGGATTGTGATGCCACCTGCCTTGCCTTTGTTGCTCATAGTTGCTTTTGCTATTCTAGTTCTCTCCTGGGAAGGAATAGTTGTTGCAGGGAGATCTATGAGGAGGCTCCTGGGAGGAAAATTACATGGCAACAGGAATGGGAGAGACTTAGTTACTGAGCCAAGAAGCACATCGGTGTTTTCCATTTCAAGGGGAGCATTGGGTACGGATAATGTGAAACAGACAAGGTTACAGGCTAATGGATGTTAAGTAGGGAACTGCAGTGGTTCTAGTTTGTTCTTCCAAAGCAGTAGGTGGCACTGCCCTGTGATTAAGAGCATTTGCCCAAGAGCCAGACCTCCTTGTTCACTTCTTGCTAACTGTATTGGGCAAGTTCCTGAGCATGGTAGTGCCCCATCCGAATGATATGCATGCCCTTACCCCCTTGGATTGTCTGAAGAACTGATGAGTTAATATACATAAATTTGTGGAACATCATTCATCACACTGAGCTTTATCTGTGTACCTCTTGTTATCAGTGTGTGAAGGGCTGTCCTAGTTCCACTATAAGTGACTGAGAAATGGAAGTTCAGGGATTTCACCAAAGGAAAGACAGTCTGAGAAGAAGACTGCATGTTGCAATAAAGAACAAGAGACACATAAAAGAAGTCATGAGCAATGTTGGGGACCCAGTTGTCATTTCTCATTTGGGAGCCCAAAACTAGGCTGTCAATGTTCATTTAATTTTACATAAACACGAAGCAAATCTGACCTGTTGCCAGATATAAAAACTGTTCTTAATGGTGCGTTTGTTTGTCTTTGAAGAGTATTGGTGTACCGGACTGATACAAAAATAATACTAAAAGCAGGGTCATCTGTGACAAACTTTGAGGATAAGGTTAGGACTGTAATTCCTGATTTACCTTGGGGTGAACTCTGCAGCCTCAGATTATGATTAACTGCTGGCATCTTCAAATTTCCACCCCCAGGCCAGGTGTGGTAGCAAACCCCTGTAATCCCAGCACTTGGGAGGCTGAGGCAAGAGGATCATCGTGAGTTCCAGGCCAGCTTGGGCTACGTAGTGAGTGCAAGGCCAGCCTGAACTACACAGGGAGGCCCTGTCCCTAAAACAAAACAAAACAAAACAAAACAAAGCAAAACAAAAACAAACAAATCACTACTTCCAACACACATCCCACCCTGGAACCCAGAACAGACAGACAGTTGGGTTGGCTCAGCTGGAGGCTGTGATGCTAGGCAGGAGGATACACAGTGTGACAGAACTGAGAACACAAGCGGACCACAGATGGGCTGAACTGGTAAAGCAGTCCCTACCTTACTGCTGCGGGTAGAACAGAGATACAGAGGACAAGGAAGAGGCCAGCGGGCGTCCTGTGGTCTTCAGAGGAGAGGAACCGGAAGCAGGCAATGCTGGCATCCTGACGCCCCCATGCCACGCTGGGACACAGGGGGCGGCGCAGCTTCCAAGCTTGGGGAGCAGGGAGAGGCGGGGCCGCGAGGGGAACAGTGAGCATTGTGACGGGGCCACAGGAGCTGGGGTCCAGGGGTCCCCCTTGCGGGCCGCGGGAGGCGCCAGGGGCGCGGGCTCTGGACACGTGAGTGCCGCGCGTCCAGGACGAGGAGCCCGCCCAGGTCTACCCCGTGAGTGTGCCAGCCCCGCTCCTGCCTGGGCTGCGGAGAGGAGTTCGGGGTCTTCGGGTTCCAGCAGTGATAAAAGGGCTGATTTAGAACCGAGAGTAAGAGGGAAGAACCTGGTCAATTCACAGCCAGGCCCCTTGGGCCTCCCACTGCAGTCAGCCCGGGTTTCCCAGGCTTTGGAGGCCGTGGGAAGCCGGGGCACCACTAAGATTAAGCACCCCCAGGAATGTGATTTTCTAAAGTACGATTTGTGAACTCACCCCCCAAGTGAATCTCAGTTCTCTTCCCGTCCCCTGTAATTTAGCTCAGAGCTGGTTCTTTTTTCTCATGACACTGTTTCCAATCTCCGACTCCAGTTTCAGCTTGGATTGTTGTTATTTTTATCCTGTGCTGTCTCTTTGCTGTGTTCACGTGTGCATTTTAATTTTGCATATTATGTAGGAAGGACCAAGACATCCACACCCTTCAGAAATCACTGCCAGACAGGTAATATTTAAATAAACTAAATTCTGTTTGTTTCGACGTTGTGCTTGTGACATTCCTTTATGTATGGTGTCACTTCGAGGTATAGCATTGTTATTAATTAGACACTTCCATGGTATCTTCTTGAAACTGAAAGCTCAACAGTTCTACTGGAATTGGTCTTAATTAGGGTAAATTAAATAGCTTATATTATCATGTTGAATATAACGTGATGCATACACAAATACAAACATGTATGTATAGCATTATAATCTGTAAAATATAGTAATACAACATGCCTCCACTCTAAGAATGAAGCCATTCCAGTATACTTGAACCTTTCTAGAGACTTCCTCTCTATTTTGCCTCTTTACATCTCTCTTAGAGGTAGCTACTCTGTTGAATTTTATTTTTATCCATCTCTTCCTTTTAAAAGATTTGTCACATGTGTACCTCTGTACCTGTAGTTTTGAGTTTTGGTTGCTTTTAAATTTATAAACTTGCAGTCATACGAAATTCAGTGTATGTTTTACTCTTTCTTCTCAACATGGTTTCCTAAAGTTAATCCATGTTCCTGAGTATACTTATACTTCCTTATTTTCGCTGCTTTTTAATATCTCATTATAGAATATATCAAAGTTCATTATCTTTTCTCTCATTCATGGGCATCAGGACAATTCCACAATTTCCTGTTGTGAACATTCTAGAAAATTTCTTTTTTCTTCACGTCAAGAGGTTCATTTGATTATTTAGGCAGGATGGAACCTAAAATATAAGGAAAGCAAATTTTTCATTGTTTTAAAAATAATGGCACCTTTTTTTTTTTTTGAACGCATGCTGCTGGCAGTGAATAAGAGTTCTGATTTTTCATATTATTATTTGTTTAGACACAAAGCCTCCCTATGTAGTGCAGGCTGGGCTTGAACTTGTAGTGATCCTCTTGCATTAGCTTAAAGGCATAAGCCACTGTATGCTCTTCCTTGTATTTTCTGTGTAATACTGTATTTTATTACCTTCAAAGCATTCTAGGTTAATTGCCTAGGTCTCCTGTTAACTTGCAGATGCCGTACAATGGAGACATAAAAACCATGCATGAAATTCAACATTTAAGAGGAAGGAGCAATATTCTTGTTTTCTTATTTCTATAAAGAAAATCTCTTTGATGATTTTAAATAATCACATTTAAAATCAAATTAACCACACATATCCATGAATTTGGATTTATAGAAATATGCATAGTGTGAAAGTGGGAATCAGCACTAAATAGTCTCCTTTGAAACCCTGCTAATGCACCAAGTTTTGATTTTTGGGGTTTTTTGTTTTGTTTTGTTTGTTTTGTTTTGTTTGAGACAGGGTCTTGCTCTGTAGTTCAGGGTGCCCTTGAACTCACTATGTAGCCCGAGCTGGCCTCGAACTTGCAGTGATCCTCCTGCCTCAGCCTCCCAAGTGCTAGGCTTCCAGGCAGTTTGGGTGAGGTTTTTTTGTTTGTTTTTTTTTAAATTTGTGCCTGACACACTCAAAGAGAAGGGATTTTTTCTTCTTCTGTCAGCTGTGCAAATCACGTGTTGATTGTGTTTATCTCATTGATACAAAATAAAAATATAATCAATGTGTTTCATGTGTATGTTATAAAGAACATGATTTTTTTTCTTTTAATTCTCACAGTCTGCAGATGAGCACATTGTTTACATGCGCAAGGTGAGGAAAGAGCAGAGGAAATTAAGTAAGCAGTTTATGAGACCGGCTCCCATCCCAGAACCTGGCCTCCTGGTAAGGGTGGAGCTGTCCCTGAAATTAGCAGGTCCCTAATGCAACTGACAGCCTCCCACTGAACATAGTAGCATTCACTCTACATTTTATTTTCCCCATTTCCCTCGAGAAAGGCGGAATTTCAGACCAGGAAGTTACCCTGAAGCTCATGTGCTCAAGTCCTCAGTACTTAAATCTCCCTTCCAGCTGTCCCCCAGAGGTCCGTGGTCTAACGTAAAAGAGCGTGATCTCTGAAACAACGTCCTGTTGGATTCCACTTGTGTTTGACATGTTCATGGCTGTCCGAGCTTATTTACATCCATCTTTTGGATTATATTATTTGGAAAGAAATTATAAAATCTCCTGGCAATTAGTTATTTAGCTTACGGTTCAACACTTGAAATACCAGAAACGATCACGATTTATTCCATTGTTGTCAAGGATTTAAAAGTTCTAACATTATGCTGTGTCCATCGCCCTTTTACAGGTGGTATTAATTTATATTTCTTATAAGGAGGTATAAATTTATGGCATTTCTACTTGAAGATCCTTCAGATAATTAAGGACAACTGTTACTTTCCTCCATTTCCTGACTTTTCTTCAAGGTAAAAATCCAGTTTACTTATCCGGTCCTCTGGGGAGCCCTGACCTAATTTAGTCTGTCTCCGAGATCATGTTTACATTTCCTATAGAGATATTCTGGCTTTCTAGAAACTGTTCCTGGTTGCAGTGTTTGTAGTCTGATTCAGAGAGAATGTTTTATATCATGTCCATATTCAGATAGGATTTATCTGCTAAAAAAGCTTACCTAAGTTTTCTAGCCTTTATTTGAATATGACTTACTTAAATTTAGAATACCATTTCTCAGAAGAAATGCAAAAGCCCCATAAATATATGAAAAAGTGTTCAACACCACTGGCCATGAGCAAAATGCAAATTAAAACAACACTGAGATTCTCTCTCACTCTAGAAAGAACAGTCATCATCAAGAAATCAAATAATAACTAATGCTGGGGAGGCTGAAAAAGGAACCCCCCTACATTGTTTGTGGGAATGTAAACTAGTATGACCATTACAGAAAACAGACTGGAGGTGCCTCAAAAAAAAAAAAATTCCATTCTGTCCAGTTATTCTCCTGCTAGATATTTTCATGATAGAGGAAAAGACATCCATCATATGACAGGGATACATGCATACCCATATTTATAGCAGCACAATTCCTAATGCCTAAATGTTAGAAGCACTCTAAATGTCAATCAACAGACAAATGGATATAGAAAGTGTGGTGTTTCTACACAATGGAGTACTACTCTGCTATAAATAAAAATAAACTTGTAGGAAAATGTATTTGTAGGAAATACATTTGTAGGAAAATGGATGCACCTTGAAAACATAACAAGTGAAATAAATCAGATGCACAAGCTTAAATACCATATGGATTCTCTCATGAGAAATCCAAAGTATAAATAATGTGAAAAGTAAAATAAAAGGAAACAGGGAAATAGATGTACTGCAAATGGCAAAGAGACCAAGACATGGAGGAAGAGGGGAAGGGAAAAAGAGGGCATAAAAAAGAATTAAAATGTCATGTCAGTGTTCCACCATGAAGAAGTCCACCATGAAAGTGGTTATTATGTATTGCAAACAAGTACTAATCAATAAAAAAGAATAACATTTGTAGCTACTAAAGATTGTTATATGCAATACTATTTGCATAAAAGTCTTCATCGTGAGAGATTTTTAATTTATAAAATTTATAATTTATAGTTAATTTAAATAGATAGTTAAATAGTTAAAATAGATAATTTATAGTTGTGTGAGCTTTTCCTATATACTGCATTTTAATTGAAATTCTTTTGTGTCTTTTAATTTTTTCTAGTGGCCATCTTGATAAAGCTGGTTGTTTATGCAGAAGAAACCATGTTCCAAACCAAAATACATGGATTTTTAACATCAAGTGGCATTTCATGGATTGACTTCATTGAAAAATAAAGGGAATACTCTGCCATTTCAACAAAATAAACACAGTGCATGCATTTAACTACCAACCTAAGGCTCTTAAACTTTATTAAATACATCACTATTTCTTTCTTTTCTGTGGTAAATTTGAGATTATTTTTTTCAAATATATATATATTTATATTTATTTATATTGAAAATAATATACTACTCATGTTTACATTTTTACAGTTGACTTATGTAGATATTAAGGTTTATGCTTTAGTAATAAGAAAGTAGATTTCTGTTGCATATTCATAATGACTTGTGGTTAAAAATTTTTAAATTTTTAAACAGTAGTAAGAGAGAGTTTTCATATAATTAAAGCCTCTGCTATGTGTTGACATTGAAAATAAGTAGTAGAGAATAATTTCCATGAGGGTACGTTGGATGCTCAATTACAACTTTAAATTTGTGTATAAAATAAATGTCTTTCTAAAATTCTTAATTGCATAAGTAATTTCTATGTTGCAAATGGAATAATCTTCTAAATTAAAGAACCACCAACTATGGGACGACTGCAGTGTATTTGATACCTGATTTACAGTGTCTGGTGTGCAGTGTAAAGTCAAGTTCAGGGAATTTTGCTATTTAAAATAATGAAAGTACCAAGAACACAGCCCACTGTAAATGACCAGAAGACATGACAAAATATTAAAGGTAGTGGTTTTCAGAAATTGAACAAAAATTTTTTTTTAAACCAATGGTGGTGTTTGAGACAAGAGAAATAATAAAGGTGAGGACTATGATTACCTCATTTACTGCCTGGGGGAGCTTTCTATATCACGATGCCAGGGAGATCAGAAGCAGAACATGAAGATTTTCCTGACTTGAGGATGGACTGTGGGACAGAAATAAGACTTGAGAAGGTCTCAATGAGCTGGAAGTTGTATGGAAGAATTAGAGAGAGTGGAGACTATGCAAAGACTTTGACTGATCTTCAGACTGTTTGCCTGGAGCCTGTGCTGAAGGCTAAGCTGCCTGGCACAGGGTTAAATTGACAAGGTCAAACCTGTTTGTTCCTTGGCCACTGTACAAGGCCAGGTAGTGAAGGACCAGCTAGGCTAGTTCTAATCTGAGCAGATGCCAGCATTCGCACCTAACACAGGTAGACATTTGAGTACTGGCCACACAGCATGCAGAGACCCTGTTTATCATACATGGCATTTAGTAAACTACCCTTCTCATAAATCTTTCAGACCAGCCTAAGGAAGCTCACTGACGTTGAAATAGAGGAGTCCTCCATAATCCACCAGGAGACGTTCACAAACCCTCAGTGGGCACCAGAACTACATTTAATTCTGAATACTATATAAATTATGTTTTTTATACATCTGTTTCATACGATGAAATTTAATTTATAAATTACCACCTCAAAACCATTAAAAAGGAATAAAACCTTGCTTCATGTAATAACATGGAAGAATCTCAAAAATATTAGACCATATTTAAAACTTGCACCTTGTATATTCCATGTATGGGAGAGTTGTTACAGGGTATAAAGATATTAATGGTTGCCTGGTAGAAGACTAGAATAAAAGATTGGGAATGAATCTAGGGACTTTTAGGGGTGATCTTTTGTATCCTGAAAGTGGGAGTGATACACACAGCACATACCTATTAAAACCTCATGAGTTATAGAATCATGCGGATGACATGTAAATTACACAGGTATGATATGCGTAAGAATATAAATAAAATGTTTTTTCTGTCACTTTACCTCCTACCTTTTTGTAATGTTTGAAAAGTTCCCACAAACACGAGTAACTAATAGAATGCGAGGACCCACTGAACAGAAGGCTCCCTGTGGAGAAGAGCTCCCTCCACACCTCAGTATTACCTGTGAATTCAGTAGCAATGAACCTCAGGCTTCACCTGAATCGGCATCGAAGTTTAACCAGATGCCCATATGACCCGCATGCTTATGAAAATCTGGGGAGCCCTTGATTAAATACCCCTGAAAAGAGGAATGTGTGTTGTCCCTGGAGGGATAGTTGACTCCCAGTACCAGAAAGCAGTCCACTGATAACACTAATACTAACGCTAACACTGATACTAACGCTAATACTAATGCCAACACTAACACTAACACTGATGCCAACACTAACACAGCCTCTCTGAGGACAGGTTCATCTCCGCCCTCGCCACTGATGCGTGCTGAGATCCACGGAAAAGACCAGAGGCTACTGAAGTCAGCTCGCAGGGCTTTAAGTTCTTCTAGGCCAGTCCCACCTCATCGAAGACAAGCAAACATTTCACAGCGCCGCGCTCACTCTCTGGGAGCCCCCTCCTGCACCTGCTGGGAGCAGCCGTTTCCAGCCTGAGGCCCAGCCCTGGGGAGGGGCGGGGCGGGCCAAGGCTCTGCCCAATCCGAAAGGGGTGGTGTCACAGAGGGCGGAGCCAAGCAGTAGGCGGGTGTAGCTGGGCGGAGCCATGAGGTGCAGATTGGACCTGGTCCCGGGGGGCGGAGTTGTGGCATAGGGGGTGTTGCCAGAGAGGGCGGAGCCTAAAGAGGCGAGACTGGAGGGGCGCGGCCGAAGGGGGCGGGGCGGTGTCGCCGCGAGGCGGGATCTCGGGAGAGCGGGGGCGGGGCTGCGCGTCGTCCTGAGCGCGGCGTCCCTGCGCGGCGTCGTCAGCATGGGGCTGTGCTTCCCATGCCCCACTGAGCCAGAGCCGGGGTCGCCGAGCCCGGTGAGTGGGCGGGGCCGGGTCGGGGCAGGCGGTGCTGGGTGGCGGGCGGCGGCGCTGAGGCCGCAGTCCCGGTGCCCGCCGTGAGGCGCCCGCCGGTGGGGACCCAGAAGGCCTCGCGCGCTCTCCGTGGCGGTGGTGCGCCCCTCGCCGGCCCAGGGCTTCCGGGCCCCTCTGGTCCCCGCAGCGCCCCGGGGTCGCCTCGGGCGACCCCGGGGCCGCCAGGGCACCCACCCCGCTCCCGGAGCACGAGCCCAGCCCGGCCGTCACCGCCGCTTGGTGAGCCTCCGACTTGGGTGCTGCCCCACGTGCTAACGCGAAGACGCCTTGACTTGCGGGGCGGAACAAAGGCAGTGGCGTGTTCCAAAAGTGTTCCCGAGGTCGTGTCTGTTGTTTTGTTTTGTTGGGGAATCTCACTATGATGCCCAGACCCGGGACCGAACTCCTGGGCTTCAGTGAGCCTGCTGCCTCGGCCTCCGGATTAACAGACTACAGGTGCATATAGCCGCACCCAACTCTAGTAGTCACTTCCTTGGTGGGACATTTTGGGCCAGCGCTAAATATTTTTGTAGACTGTTATATTACCTACAAAGACCGTAGGTGTGTAATTTACCCGTGAGAACGCTCGGCTTTATTTTGACACATTTATGGTAATTTTCTTTAGGAAGAGAAAAGAGCAAAGCTTGCAGAGGCTGCAGAGAGAAGACAGAAGGAGGTGAGAAGAGAAATAAAACCGTGCTGTTTAGCTAATTAAGGCTGTACTCTACTCTCCAGAACTGTCACTAGTAGTATTCTCTAGTGTACATGGTGTCTGATATCCTAAACAGTATTTAAAGATAGCCATTTTGAAAAGGATTCCCATGGTCCATCAGTTGCATTAATGTATTTTTGTCATTTAATGTTGAAAATTAGCCCAGAGGTGTTTTCCACAATTTGAGATGCTTCTGTAATAATATTCTCCCTTAAGATAAAATGCCCACATCTTGTGAAACGTGATAAATGTAAAATAAGTTTAGGGAAGATTTTTGTATGGTTGCAAAATGTCCAATGAAGAAATGACTATTTTCGTAAGGCTGCTGTGGAAATACAGTGTTACTGAAATAAGCCAACTCCCCAAACAAAAACCTAAAAGCAAAAACACCTTGTGGACACCAGATACTGACTTTTGGGGGTTTTTTTCTATAACTCTTTATCCAATTTCTTAAAGGCTGCATCTCGGGGGGTTTTAGATGTTCGCTCTGTGGAAGAAAAAAGAAAGAAAAAGGAAAAACTAGAAAAACACATTGCCACATCTGGGCCTCCACCAGCAGGTGGACTTAGAGTAAGTATTAAAATTTATTTGAGATCTAACTTAACTGGCATTTTTTGAAAGCTTACGTAGCAATTCATTCAGTGCTTTTGTCTGGAAATACCATTGTGAGAAAATTTTAAAGTAAATAATTTAGAAAATGTTTATTTACTATTCATGGGAATTATTTGCTTTCTTCCTCAAGTGAAAATAATTTTTATTTTTTCTAATATTATATTTTAATACTTCAGTACTTATTACTAATCTGTCTTGTGGTGAGGGGAGGTTTGATTTTTTGAGACAGACTCTTGCTAGGTAGGTTATTCAGGCTGTGGAGCATTCACAGCTGTCCTCTTGCCTCAGCCTCTCAAGTGCTGGGATTACAGGAGTCTACCACCATCCCTGGCATTACTAGTCTTAAATCTGCTAAAACTCAAGCAGAATATGAAAGGGTAAAGAATGTAAAAGTTCAGCTCTGTTTTGACAGACATCACTTTTAGTCTCCACTTACATATGAAGCATTACTGGATTCCTCTATAAATTGTTCCAGAGCTTAAATTTTTTCACTCCATGATTTGAGGTCTTTGATCTTCCCGTTCTTGCTCGTTGTCATAGCCATATAAATGTTAATTTGGACCACTGGGTACACAGCTGGCGAGTGCCCTGCAGTCCTCTCAGTGTGTCCAGCCCAGAACTAGATACTGGTTATATAACGGTAGACAAATGAAGCAATCCTGGCCATCTAACTGGACAGTAAAGGTTTTATTTTACATGTGATGGTGTAGGAAAATAAGGGTTCACATATTAAGACTTTGTTCTTCTTCTTTTCTTTGTTTCTCGTGGTGCTGGGGATTGAACCCAGGGCAGTGTTCGCACTAGGCAAGTATCTACCACAGAGCTATATTCTCTGCCCCATTCTTGGTCCATTTTTTAAATAAATACTTTCTAAAGGAAAGACGTTTGTGAAATGGACAGTGTCCTCAACTTCAGTCATTCTATTCAACTCATCGGTGATTTAGAAATGTTTTTGAGCTGACCTACTGTCTTTATAATTAGGGTTCGGTTTTGCTGTCACACAGCCCCACATACACATACATAGCTATGCAAATAAGTCTTTATTACAGGACTTCTTAGAGGCTTGAATATTGTGCCCTTTTTAATGTGTAAGAAGGAGATACTATCTAAAATATCCTGTTTTCAGGATTTATTATATACAATTCAGTATTTTTAAACTTTCTGTTTTCCTAAATTGTAGGCCATATAGTTTTAGGGCGTCCTGAGCAGAGTTGATTCTGGCTCGTGAATGTCACATAGAGATAAGAGTTATCTGTATTACATTACTGTTGTATGTTATTTCATCAACTTTGAGTTAATGGATGAAACTTTCAGAAAGTCATTTTTCTTCCCAGTGAACATTTAAGAATATATATGATAATTGGTTTCATTATTAAAGTATATACATAATGGGGGCCATTGTGCTTAATTTTTTAATATCTGCATAAAGGAATAATATAGATCTGGTGTAAAGTTGGGAGATGACAGGGTCCAATCTATCAGAAATATAAATTGTTGCTTTCAGTATTCTTTGGTACAGTTACATCGCATTCATATAGGGCTCTCAGAAACAAACCAGATACATAAAAAGGAAGTTATAGAACTGAAAATGATGTTTGGTTCCGCTGTTTCATAGAAGAAACAGAGGAAGTAATTCAAATTCACATATAGTTTTATAAGAAAAGGATTCTACAATCTACATAGCGTCAGTATTAAGGTATTTATTTTACCTGTTGGAAGCTAATGAATTTGACACCTGCTTTTAATTCTAAGAAAGGGGCTTTCTTAGTTAAACCTGTAGCCTGGATCCTGGAGATTAAAAAGAAAAGAGGCTTTAAGAGCTGCTAGTCCCCTCAAAGGTGCTCAACACACACAGAATCCATGTGTAAAAAGTGCCCTTCTTCTTTGTGTATTGTCTTGGAACGAGTCTCCAGCCTCCTTAGTGAGGCGGCTCGCAGAGCCGTCCAGTGTGCAGTGGCAGGGGGCTTTTCCCCAGAGGCTCACTCCGGAGCCACTGACACTGCCCACTGGGGTCCACCCCAACCTGGCTCACTGGCCTCAGGGCTGCTCCCTTCCCCTTACCAACTGCACAGCAAAGAGCCCCAGGGACAGCGCACATGACTGGAGGGGGGAGAGAATCTTCATCCTCCCTCCACCTCTTGGCCTGGGATCCCTTAGAGCTGCTGTCCACCTCCTGCCATGACATGCACGGAGTGCAGATCACATTTCTTGTTTCTGTGTTCATACCCTTCACATCGTCACCTCCCGATCTGCTCTGCCACATCCCCGCATAATTGCCATAGGAAGCGACAGCCGTGGTAACCACATCGGTGCAGAGTAGGGCCTGTGCTGGGTGTGGCAGTGCTGGAACAGCGGCCGACCTCTGCAGCAGCTCTCAACTCCTGTACACCAGTGCCAAGGGAGCTTCAGGAAGAAAACCAGGCCTCCTCAGACCAGTCAGTCTGCCAGATTGGGTTTTAGCTGTCAGGCATTTTTAACTCCCCATGGTATTTTTAATGTAAGCCCAGACTAAGAATCGCTGCACTAAAGATTTTTAACACTAGTATTAAGAGATGTGTAGAGTCCAGCGGTAACAAAAAGCAAAGCTTAAAAATCCTGAATAGTATACTCTATCTTGAAAATAGTATGTTTTGACAGTCTCCCCTTCTTATAGATTGAAAAGAGCACAGTATTCAGCCTTCTAAGAAGTCCTGTTTTAAGAACAGCAAGTTGACTTAGATTACTCCTTTACTTTTACTCAGATACAGTATAGCTGTTTTGAAAAATAGGTAACACCCAATATTTTTTTTGGTTGTACTTTGAAAGCTTTACCCAAGAGCCTGAAATATCAGCAGTCCCTTTCCAGTGGCTCTTTTGAAACCTCGTATCACAGATTGAATAGATTTGGTTAAAGAAAGTGGAATATTTTTTCAACTGGAGAAAGGAAAAGACCTTGACTCCCCATTATTTAATAAGTACTAGCGTTTCTTGGCTTCCTGGCTCGAATAACAATTCTTCCATTTCTGTTGGGTGCTTCTGTTCCCTATTATTTGTGTTCAGTAGTGTTTTCTTTCTGTCTTCCTCTGCTGATGACTGGATAGTTGGCAGCTGGTGACTCGGGGTCACAGCACTGAAGGGCATCCTGCTTGTGTGGCCCTCTGGCCTCCCCCTCTTTCAGGGTGTCCTGCTCCCAGCACACAAGTGATTGTTGCTGAGGAAGCTGGGAGTGGGAAGGGGATCTGTCCAAGGCCACGCGGAGAGCTGCCTGCACCCCCCCGACGTGCCCCAATGTTGTCTCCTCACGGCCTCAGACTGCACCACACTGTCTCATTTCATTATTAGCTGGTGTTCACAAAAAAGAACATTTGTGTTTCTGGATCCCATTTTATTCTTTTTATATTCTTGTATACCTTAAATAAAATTACTTTTCTCTCTCTTACTTTGATCTTTTCTAGTGGACAGTTTCATAAAGCATAACATGAATGGAAGAGCCTACTGCCAGTTTTGTCCAGCATCTGCAGTCAAATGGACTTCCTCCGTTTAATGTCTTCTCCTTGAGAATATAGAATCAACTTTTGATAGTGCCCTTAATTGTAGTGCTACGTCTGTATTGAACATATTGGGAAAAAATTCGCTTTGCAGACTTAGAAAATGGCCAGACCATTCATTGAATTCTTATGTTCCTGCGCTTAATTTTCTGCAGGAAGTAAGTGATTTGCCATTTTTTCATAGTTAAAATATGTATCTAAATAGCATACACAGATGGCACTTAAAGACCCAGCATACATTTCTAATACTAAACTTGCAATTATGTTTCCCTCCTTTAAAATATCTTCGCTATTTATAGTTTTGCTGCGTAGCCTTGTGTTTGGCTTTTTTTCACTATGTATGAAGACTTTTGCTCACACTTAAAGACTTAGTGCCTTGAAACTGATCATCAGGGAAAATCGTGAAAATTCATTGAAGGGCTTACCTGAAGGAATACTAAATTTTTATAACTAAGTAATGGATATTTGTAAGCAAATACTGAATTTCCCCTAATTTATTGTCTATTTTTATACCTTATAAAATTAACATGTATTACAATATAATAAAAGTTTTCTTTGCTGAATTTATGTATTAGTGGATACCGTCAGAGGGCACTGATGTGCTACTGTATGGTAACAGATTTGGTTCTGTAAAGGTCTATGTAATAAGTTAAACGAAGACTCTTAGTGGGTTATAGTGAGTGGTAGTATATTTGTCCAAATTTCATAAGGATTTTTCTTTTTATTAAAGAATAGTTGTAAGATTTGTACAGACATGAAATTACCAAGGCAAGTACGAATGTAAGAAAGAGAAATATGTAGGTACTGTATTTTGAAACATAAAAATATTAGAAAGTAATTCTATAGGATGTGTAGACTTTTTAGATTTTTCTCACTAGGAACATGCATTTCACATAACATTTATGCTTTTGATTTTTCCTTTTAATATATAATATGTTAAAATAGAAGCACTGCTATTAACTGTCAGAGATGCTTCCTCTTTGAACGACAAGACCACATACCTGAGCCCTGAGTTAAAATTGTAGATACTAGATGCCAATAGGAACTGTAAATTAAAAAGACTAGCTCACATAATTTACTAAGGAAACTGAGCCACTGTTCTCTCTCGATCCTCCCACAAAGATTGTGTTATATTGCAATGTATTACACATGTTTAAAGAGTTTGAACTATAATATGGGTCTTTTGATTCCTTGTGTAAAAATTACTTTTTCTACTATGATAGGAAATACTCAATGAATATCTAAGCAAAATGTAGTTAAAGTCAATTTTCTTCATTCTTTAGAGGATTAGTGATACTTTTCCTAAAGGATTGTGAAATCATTGAACTGCACTTTAGAAATAAAATTTTTGACTTTATTAAGGTGATTAAATTTCTAACACAAGAAGAAACAAGTATAATTAATAGCTGTATGGACACAACCAGATCTTACCATCCTTGAACTGTGCCCTCTTGTGTTACTATAGCAAGAATGATTTTCTCTTCACTACATCCTTTAAAAAATGAAAGCATGGATTGTATAAGCAGGTTTATTTCCAGGGATAGTATCTTCTTTCTGACCACAGTTTATATCCCAGTAACTTATGTTGAACCATGAATGATTGGCATGGATATTGCTTTCTGGGGAAAGTGGGCGACAGTGCACCTGCCAATCATGGCTGCTTCTGGGGGTCTGATCTGCTTTTTCCCAAACCACACGTGCAGCCACTCATTGGTGACACTCAAGCCTCAGCAGCATTGTTAGGAAGGGGAAGGGAAAAGAGGAAACTGGATGCCTTGTAAGAAAGTGGTACATGATCTATGAAATGCATGTACGTCTGGATATTTGCCTCATGAAGTTATGGATTGCTATGAAAACCTTCAGTGAGAGTGAATTTCCTGAAATTAACACTTTAAGTAAGAGAAGACCATCATGTGTAATTCCTCACCCAACACCTCCGTCCGGATTACTAAAACACCAGACACAGTAAGATGTGTATGCTAACTATGTTAAGATATAAATGCTTAAATCACAGCTTGATTCTAATCTTTAGACTATTACTATGGCTGATAATAAAAAGCTATTACACAGCTTCTCTGTGACACATTGCATGTTTTTAAAAATATGTCATTCTTTTGTTTGATAAGTTGTATTCAGGATGTAATTTAATATATTTCCCACATACGGTTTTGTTATAAATTCTTTATTGTCTTTTGGGGACATAATTATATGTTTTCCTTTATAAAATTCTTTTACCTGTCTCTGTTTAACAAAGTTTCATCTTTACTACATCTTAAATAATTAGAACTAGGGTTGATAGTTAACACTTTCATCTTTTGGGGATTAAGAACAACAACAGAGATAATGCCTATTTGCTGTGTTCGTAGTCTCAAGTTATAGGTTTGCTTATACTGTAAAGAAGTGATGATACCAATCCCTTGACTTTCTAAAAGAGAAATAAAAGAATAATAAAGGCTCTGTATATCATCCTTAATACCCTAAGAGTATTGCCATAAACTTTGAATTTCCCTTTTGTCCAAAAGTTTGACTTGCTAATTTTCACTGATAATCATGCTGTGCCCTTAGAAGATAAAAATGTATCTTGTCAGTTTTGAATACTAATTTCTGTATAGGTAAGTCAACAAGAGGTAAGCAGGTGTGCTTGCCAATCTATGTTGAAATTCAGAATACATTTCTTTAACATTTCTAGGCAAGCATCTCAAGTTCTTTGAATATTGTCCATGCTCTAAACTGATTCAAACACGATAAGGCCCTTTTTTTTGAATTTTGTAAAAAGCCACGGACAGAGGACATTTGTGTGTATAGCAGGTTTTAAAGAAGTTTTGTTTTGATACAGAAGTTCATGTCCAACAAGTCAAAACAGCTTAAATTCCCCAGGCAAATATTATCTGAAAATATGACTACTCTGGGTTAAGGTCTGAATGTGCGTAAATTCTTTGACCTGGATGTAGTACTTTTGTTATATCCTGAACTACATGGCTATTTTTGTACCACCATATTTAGGTTATGCTCAGTTTTGACTTAAAGTCCTGTAGCTATAACTGTGTTAAGGGAAGAAAGAACGTTAGAATTGTCTTTTCACTGACAATATCCATTACCTTATGAAGTGGGTATTGCACCTTGGATAACTTTTGTTACAAAAGTACTCTTTCCTTTGAATATGTAGATGGTCTGAGGTTTCTACACTCTACATCTACTTTTTAAATTTTTTTTCGCTATTACAAAACAATCTCTAAGCAAGACAGCTAAGAGTTCCTCCAAATAAAATCTCAACAGTCCAAAGTGAGTAGCTCCCAGAGTTCTAAAGTGAAGCCACTGCTTCGGGGTCTATGATCCGAACACCCTTGCCACTTGTCCTGTATGGGCTGCCTGGGATTTTGCCCATCCACTCCAGGAGCAGCTAAGTGACTGACAGCAGTGGACCACTCAGTAACCTCAGGGCAAGTGTGCTCTGCCCACTGCTGATAGCATCTGACTGTGGTTTCCTCATTGTTTATTTGCTTGGACTTGAGTTTTCAGTTGCTTCTTTTTTGCTGTTCTCAGCTAGGTTTCTGGACTGAGATTTTTTTAATCCTTTATTCATTTGCATATAACCCCTCTGCATCATCCTTTCATGGGTCTTATATTTATTTACCTGAGAGCAAGGTAAGACGAGCCTACTTGGTGCTTGGCCTGTCTTCACGAGTCAACAAGAGCCATCTACATTTTTTCATTTTCTTCTGAACATTGTCTTATTTTTCCACACCCTTTTCAATGATCCCTTAGCAGCCAGACCCCAGTGTCCATTGTGACCAAGTTCTTAGCAGTACTTACACGAAACACTGATATAGAAGTAAAGAGCAAAATACACATAACAGGGAATAGGGAGATAGACCTTTTCCAAAAGGAAAGAAGACCAAAAGACAGAGGAGAGAGGAAGGAGCTGAAAAATATAATTTAAGATGTGTTATGTACATGTACTAACTCCCCACAAGGAATGTAATCATTAGGTACTACAAGTGTACTAAAAAATTGAAATAGGAAAAAGACCATCTTAGAAATGATGCAGGCCTAATCCTCTTCACCCCCCAAATACATTCATGCCTTATTGCTAGAAACCTATGCTATGTTATTTTACAAAACAGAGGTGATTTTGTAAATGTGATCAAGTTAACCTTAAAGGGGATTATTCAGGTGAGCTTAATCTACAAAAACAAATAGATCTTTAGAAGTTGAAGACTTTTCTGACCTATGGTGGAAGATATGTGAAGAAAGATATCCAGAGAGATGCTGTATTGCTGGTGTTGAACACAGAAAGGAGGCGGTGGCAAGAGATCCAGTCACATCTGGATGGGAGACAAGACATGGAAATGGGCTCTTCAGTGTTCAGAAAAACGGTTCAGTAATCAATATTGTTTTTGATGAGCTACACTTGTTTTTGAACTAAATGAACCTTCAATATTAAAAACGAGTATGCTTATGGGAAAAATTTAACCACATGAGAAAGTTTGGATGAGAAAACTCAATGACGATATAGAAAAGTTAGTGTTAATATTAGTGTGATAATGATTAACTCAGCGTCATATTTAAAAAGATAGGATTAATGACTGGGTCGAGATGATTTTATCTTCCACAAAACCTTTAGCTTTTCTTCTCTTTTTTTCTTTATGTTGCATTGACGTTCGTTTTCAAGAATGATTACCACCCCTTCCAGTGCCACCAAATTATACCATGCTGTTATTTCAATTTCTTCCAATGAAAAAGTTGTACTACTAAAGTGGTCACATGACAGATTCCTCTTCCCTGAGCTTTTGGAAGGAGAAAGTAATTTTTTTTCTTTTTTCAGAAATGAAAAAATCAGCTAACTACCTGTATTTCTGATACTTACAATATGATACCTGTATGTATTTATGATATTCAGAGAAGCACTTACGGTATACTACCCATGATAAAATCTAAACCCTCTGCTAAGAATATACACCACACTCACTTCCACAATATGAAGAGATTCTAAGTAGCATAATTTAGCTTTCCTTATAATTCTCAGGGAAATTAGCTATTTGAAGACTATTTCAGGTTGAAGAATTGGTATAGAGACAGATAACATTTTTAACATTTATCTTTTTAATTCTTGCATCAGCGAGGACAATATTTTGCTGTTTGTCTTGTCCTAGGTATACAAGATATACACAAGCCTGTAACATCATTAGCTACAGTGAATTTACTAGACAGCATAGCAAAGTAGGATTAACTAAAGATATATTTTAATAAGAAAAATGCTTTATAATGATAAGGAGTCGACCATTTGTACAATTCACTTATCAAAATATAAATGTGTATCAGCCCATGTGTGTGGATTACACTAAGTCATTCTAAACACAGCCATGTGCTTAGGAATGTGTGAAATTCATCAGCTATTCTCTAAGGGGTATACCAAAAACTTCCAAAAGTACCTCAGATATTTGGTCAGAGATAAGAGAGAAACTTTAAGGCAATCTTCCAAATGAATGTAAACTTTTCTGAAGCGGCCTTTCCAGGAAAGTATTATTGTGATTAATAGTCTGCACTTACTGATAGTGCTGTTGGATAATTTCAGTAGCACATTATCAAAGTAATCATCATTTTGTAAGAAATAGCTTAAAACTCCTGCAATTATAAAAATGGCTGGGGTGCTTTCGCTCATAGACATACAGCAGGCCCTTTCTGTTGACTTTTCCACAAATCCTAAGTGTTTTCTCCTAGTAACCATTTTGTCTTTAGCATCTACAGCTAGAGTTGTCCTCCTAATACTGTTTGTGTCCTAAATACTATGCTCACATATTGAGAAATAATTTGCCTACGATTTAACTAATTTAAATCTGAGTTGCGAATTTAATAATGTCGTTTCCTACAGAGAAGCATTAAAAATAAATAGTGCTACTGTATTTCAGTATGATGACATTTTTCTGTCACACCTTTTTCCAAAGTGGATTTCAGAGCATGTGAACTAAACTGACTACACTGGAGATGTGGATATAGCCCCTTATCAGAGTCCCCTTGAGGTGACTAATTAATTTCATTTAATCTCCTTCTTAGCCTTATAATTGGCAGAGACCACCAAGTAATTATCTGGATTCATGTCCTTAAGAGTTGGAGATTTGCTTTGGATGGGGGATGTTTTGCCATCCACACGGGAGATCTGCAGCATTCGGCAGGGGTCATGTTTCAACAAATACCCAGCAAAAGTTTCCCATCCTCCTCCCACACGCACCATGACATGTTTGTTGTGCAGCATCTGAAATGAAAGAAGAGGAAAAGTGTTACGTTCTGAGAATCCTTACAGTACTTGGAACCAACCCCTAGTTCTAGTGAAATTAGTGCTGTTCGTCTCAAATCTCTAGCCCCACTGTTTTCCTATGTGGTATTTGGAGATGTTTAGCGTGTAGTTTATGAGAAAAGCCTTTTTATCTCCATGCAAGTGCATGTCAGGTAAACCTCCCCAGAGTCCACCTTTGCCTCTGGGGCCCAGCAGGTCTTTCTCATTGTGTGATTCAGTGGGTTTGGAGGCTTCTCTCTGACATTTCCATTAAAGCTCTCATCACTGCCTCCGGTTCCTGCCTGTTTCCTCAAATTAGTGCTTCATTCTTCCCACCAGGTTATTTCCTTCTCCACCAGGACTTAGAAGACCATGAGGACTATAATGTTAACAGTCATGCCAATATGTGATGCAACAGAATTGAAAATGCACTCAAGGAAACTGCAATCTTCCCCAGGCTTTATCTGTGCCATTCAGGGCAAGGTGCTTTTGGATAGCTAAACGTTTATGTTTTCCTTTAGTGTTATGCCTCCTAATTGCTTTAGAATACATTTAAAACAAAACAAACGAAAAAAGAAAACAACTTACCTTTAGACCCAGGAGCCCAAAGCTGTAGATTTAAAGAGTGAGCAATACATGGTTCTTTTTCTCCCACCCACACTTGTATGGATGGGTAGTGGTCATGTAATCTTGGGAGGGAAGGAATTTCGAGTGGGACCTAGGGAAGCATTTCACTGTAGATACTGGAAAATCCCATTGGATTTCTCTCACTCTTTGTCAACCTGGCCTCTGGACTTTGTTGACTCCCATCCAGGGGGTGGTGGCTTGGACTCGTACTACCTTCATTTAACCTTTGAGAATCTGAAGAAACATAGTGACCTTCTTTTTCTGTGCCTATAGCCACAAAATCTTGCATATGTGTTTCTTGTTTTCACAGAATTTAATAAGTGTATTTACAGAATCAAAATAAAAGCTCTGACTCGTGGTTGACATGAGGCAGTTTTTTAAATAAAAAATATTATGTAAACTGTTAAAATATGAACAACAGTGACTGGAACTATTTGACTCAGCAAGAATTAAGCATAACTCTACTGGTTATTCTTAGATTTTTTTTTAAAGAATTTTAGCATAGAAGGAAGCTTAGGAAATACCTTTCAGCTAGAATTCTTTATTTTCGCGTTAGGAGTTGCCCACTGAATAAAATCTCAAAAAGCACAACTGAAATATAAAGCACAGTGGCAGAGTTGGGATTTTGCTTGCAACTCTGTGGGCTCTCCTGGTCTAGCCAGAAGTGCCAAATTCTTCTACAGATGAAGACACTGAGGAGCAGATGTTCAACATGATTTGAGTAGGACTCAGATTTCCTGACTCCAATGTAATGCTTGCCTCATGACAGTTCCTACTAAATCAGTAAAATCCATTAAAGTTATTATAATTTGTTCAATGTATCCTCATATTCAGGAGTACATCCCTGTACTGCAAACATTAGGACTCGGAGAAAAACGACAAAGGCAAGTGGCATATGACCCTTTGCTCACCCTGGACCGGAGGTGGCCTTGCTCCTCACTGAACTTCTTCAAACTCCCACCCCTGCTAACTGTACTTATGTGTTGATTCCGAACATCCTCAGCAGATATAATGGGTTGTGGACAAGCTATTGCAACCAGAAAGAACCACCAGTAAGAGCAGGTTTTAAAGGATTAACTCGGGATGACAGTAACAGAAACAGAAATATCTTTGAACCTGGAATATACTGATCATTTAGCTACACAATCTGTTTGCAGATTTTTTTAATTATTTATTTTGGTACTGTAGATTGTACCTATGGCCTTTGTACTGAGCTATATCTTCAGACGTCTTTATTTTTTATCTTAATTTTTTAATCTTTTTCTTTGAGTCAGGGTCTCACTGTGTAGTTCAGGCTGGTATTGAACTCACTATGTAGGCTAGGCTGCCTCACACTCATGGCCATCCTCCTGACCCAGCCTCCTGAATGCTGGGATCACAGGCATGCGCCACCACACCAGGCTTATTTGCAGATTTTTTTCAATGAGTCTGCTGAACTCCGTTAAGTGGATTCAACATGAAATGGAGTCGTAGTGAATGTGAGTAACACAGGAGTTGCATTTTTCCCATCTTCCTAGGGAAGATATGGACTTTAATCCAATATTTTCCAAACTCTCAATAGCTGATCAGCAGAAAATACCTTTATATCTAAGTTCATTTTTCTACATTGCTAAGTGGAGGCTAATGGACATCATTTTATTCTTGTGAGTAGCTTCAGTCTTCTGAAGTATGGTTTCAGCTTATGAAAGCTGAAGCTTTCATAAGCTTTAGTGAGAAGAGCAGCGAAGGAGGCATATGCATCTCCCCAATCTCTAAGAGCTCTGTTGATGGAATGATTGCTCATGATCGTGGGTAGGGGTGGACAGGGAATGTGTTGGCTTGTCGTTTTCTCCTTTCGAAATCTGAAATGTGGCTTTCCTGTAATTATTTCATTCTTTGTTTCTTGGTTGCATTCTGTAGGCAGTCACTGCAGAGTTGTTTTTCTGCAAAGGCGTATGCTGAACATCTTCCCACTCAAGCTTTTCACGGAAGCAACGCACAGGCAATATAATCACCATACAATTAGGAGAGATTTTTTTCCCCCTTTAGAAAGAGATACAACTTCCTGTAAAACATTTTCATCTGGCCTACTTGAGACACTGCTTCACTGGAGACGTTAAGATTGGGGCCTTGCTAATATAACATTGCTTTCTTCTGAAAGGAGGTTGCTTTCTTCTGAAGGATCCTATGATGTCTCAGGCTTAAAAGTGTGCTTTATTTTTCCAGTTTTCCAAAGGTACTTTTAAGCCCTTTTCCTGATCTTTCTTCTGGATCCACACACAGTTCTGAAATGTGGGTCCTTATAAATTTTTCAGAACTGTGAAATGCTTCTCTGGTGCACTGGAGCCAGCCTTCTGCTCTTTTCCTTTGCTGATCCTAAGCTACGTTACAAACAAAAATACATACATAAATGCATTAACACCTGTCACTAAGCCCTTTCTTGATATAGTCTTTACCAAGGTCCTAATCACCTATAATCCATGTATACATATATTTATGAACAATACTTAAAATAGATCTGCTACATCTTCAAGAACAAATACTGATTCCATATTGAAGAGGCGTAATTACAAAACCTATTACCTTTCTTCATGCCTCAGTCTGGTTATCTTTGAGAGTGGAGAGGGGCTTAGGCTGGTATTATTAGGCAACAGGTCCCAGCATGGGATCAAGATATTAAGGTCATAGAGATTGGTGACCCTAATTATAGATTTAATTCCATAATCTTTTTTTTTTTTTTTTCACTTTGGGCTCAGTCTCAAAAAAAGTTTAACACCAACTCCATCTCCAGGAGCAAAACTTCTACTGTTTAACCTAAAAGCGAATTAACTTCCTACAAAACAAATAAATCCCTCCTAACTCACTCACCCTCCCTTCCTGTGCTTGCAGAAGGGCTCAGCTGATTTAGAAGGTCTATTTTTTTATGCTTCCTCTAAGAACTCAATCCATTTTAGGGACTTAGAGATTTGTGATCTTAGACCCATTGCCATTACTTAATTCCTGTATTTTATTTTTATTTTGGTCGGTTCTGTGCAGTCTGGTGCTCTATCATTCTCAAACACACTGCCTATCTCCTCTCTATTGGGTCTGCTGCTCACTTCATCTTCATCAAGCTTGCTTTCTCTCTCTTGAGACCTCTACCAGGTAATTTACCCAAATCTACATTTCCCCTTTCTTCACCTTTCTCTTCTCCAAAAGAAGTCCAAGTTCAGTTCCTCCCAGAACATCTTAACCCCCTTTCTATATCCTTCTAGCTATTGTACTTTCGTCTTACATCTGAACTTCTTCAGAGTTAAGTTGATACTCGGTGTTTGTCCTCCTATCTTAATTACTGTGCAACCCACAATGCACATGGCTTCTGTGCTCTTGCTCTTTTCTGGCCCACTGAGAAAAGGAAACTCATGGGTAATTTTAGATGCACCAAATCCAATAGATGCCGCTACTCCTTCTCTGTCTTGATTAATCTGTCAAGCAAGATTTCTGATCATCTTTGACTGTTCCTTCCTTGAAGTCCTCTATCCCTTGACTATCTATGACCAGACTCTTTTTTCTGGATTGTATGCTGCCTAATTCATTGTTCTTCCTCTCCCTTTTTCATAGGTTCCATTTATTCTACCTTTCCAAGTTTTGCTGTTTCAAAGGATTCGGAATGATTCTGAGATTTCTCTATTGCTTTTCTCATTCTAACCTGTCTCTATTTGTGATCCTGTAGTTTTCACTACCATTTATTTTTATCTCTCAACTTACAAGGTTACCCCTTGCCTCTTCCCCAAGCTTCAGAATGCAAAGTCCCCCCTGGGCCACTATCTTCCTAGCAGGGATGGTGGTGCAGGCTCTCTCTCTAACTAGATACCAAGAACATTCATTTACTCCTAAAGGTTTTTCAGGGACTTTGATACCCTTGCTACTATTTAACTCAGCACCTTGTCTTTTCCCCAAGCTCCTGTAAGGGTGTTGCTGCCTCTAGCACTGCCCCCTCTGATTCACTTAGTGAACTGTCTCCAAAAGGATTTCCTAAAATGCAAACTTGACTCCATGTCTTCTGTCTAAATACCTTCATTAGTTATGCCTCTCCTGTAGGCTGAGATTCAAGTTTCTTTCTTTCTTTTTCTTTTTCCTTTCTCTCTCTCTCTCTCTCTCTCTCTCTCTCTCTCTCTCTCTCTCTCTAGCAGGGATCAAACTTGGGTCCTTGCACTTGCGCAGCGGACAGCGAAACCACTGAGCTAAATCCCCCACCCTCAAGTTTCTTTATTTTATTTTCATATATTATTCGCCAAGCCTGCCAGCCTTGGAAGCCTTACCCTCCGCTCAGGGTCCCAGGAATTTTTTTAGTTCTGTTCTCCCAGGTAGCATATATCTCCTTCCATATTTTT